GTTGTTTTGACTTTTATATTATATTTTTACATCATTGAAGAACTAAAACAGTATCAAAACAATAAAAATTCGCTACGCCTAAGTTTCCGCTGTATTTAAAAATTGTAAAAATGAACTTTAATTTGACAGATTTAGCTTTGCTTTCACCTCAGCGAGAAACCCTTACCCTGACAACTGCTAGTTCATCTTTTTCAGAGCTGGAAAGTTTCCACTTCTTTATAAGGTTTTCGTTTCTGAAATTGGTAATTAATCATCAACAGTCCCACTGAGCGAGCTGGTAGTTCTTTGCCTTGAGTGGAAACTGTTTGCGTTTTCATAATTCATTGGATGTGTGAATAAAGCATTGTTTCCGCAAGATTAATGGAGATTGAATATTACATTTCCTTCGCAGGAAAAGGAAATGAGACCAGCCTAGAGTATGTATGAATACTTAATTTTTCTCATCTGTTGAGATCGAGAGCAACACAACATTTTTACATTTCTAAATATGAAAAATCAAGAAACAGTACTCATAAGAAAATTCTCCGCGTGTCAGTAAAGATTTGGACTTGAATTTACAAAAATTCTAGGTTTTAAGAATATAAAAAACAAAAAGCGATAAAAACCGAATTAAAAAAATTTAAGGTCGGATAAAACCTGCTTCTTCAGAACCTTTAGTAGTACAATACTGCTTGTTTTACTTATTGGCCCAAAGGGGCATTATCCCAGAAGGCCTATTATTCTCGAAACGGTATTTTGCGTTGGTTCACTATAAATGTCCGTTTTACTTTTCAGATTGTTGCCACCAAATTATACTTAATGAAATTAAATAATGAAATTATTTAATTTCAATAAATAATGAATAAATAATTTAAATAATGAAATTAATTATTTAATGAAATTAAATAATGAAGAATATTCATGAATGTATGTAAGTCTCTCTCGAAAAAACAACGATACCTAGAGCCATCAGGTTTTTAATAACGTAATCCTTCTGCGAATATGGGCATCTGGAAGCCAGAATTTGAAATTTGGAATTTGTTTTATTATCGAATTCATATTTTGTAAGCTTCCACCCGTATATGGCACACGGAAGCCCAAATTTGCTTTATTGTCCATTTCTTATTTTGTAAAACTTTGACGAATTTTTCATTAACAAACTCAACGATTTCAAAGCGAGCTGTGGCAACACTGTACGGAAAGAAGCATATTTATCTCCAGCGCGCGAGACTGTCCATCGGAAATTCTAAAGACATGCTGTTTTTAAATATTTTAGTCCAAAGGGGCGTTAGCCCAACTGCTCTCGAAACTTGTATGTGTGTGTAAATGGGAAAAAAAAAAAAAAAAAAAAAAAAAAAAAAAAAAAAAAAAACCTTTGTGAGTAATATAAAATCTGAAAGCTTTCGGGTTTTATTTTACCCTTTTTTTCTTCTAATTTTTGTCACTAATTTTTTGTTTGTCATTTAATTCCTACGGCGCATCTTTTTGTAATAATAATACTGTTTAGATTTTTATTAAGGGCGTCCAGTAAACATCTGCATTTTGTTCCAATAACTTGGTTCAAAAGTTAATAAGTTTAACTATTCCAGGTTAACAGTATGTATCCGGTATATTATAATTAAAGTGTCAAACGGTAAATCATTGCCGAATGCCAGCGTTACGTCATTAAGTCGTTGCACGGAAGAATCACATTGCGCAAAGTTAACTGTCTATGGAAAAACGGATTATCTTATCTAATAGTCCAGATTAAGAAAGTATGTATAACTTATAGCAAACCTAAATATTATGATAATTAAAAGAGAAAAACGAAGCAAATGTTAATTGAAATGATTTCTGTTACTGCTGAAAATGTAGGTGCGTGATACAATTATATATATTGTTTTAAATAGCTGGTGTATTTTGCTTGGGACCAAGTAAGACACAGCTCATTAAATATTTCACAATAAAAGAATGCAAAGTTGTTCAATACGCCTTACAAAGTGTTCTTTCCTATCTTCATTTGGATCAATCTCCATTAAATTAAACAGTTCCTGTATTCGTTTTAACTATTCATGTTAACTTTTTGTACATTAAATGGGTTCTTTACCTTTTTCACTATCTCTGCTTTCATCATCGGCTAGTTGTTATAAGATCATGCAATTCTTTTCATTTCATGATCGTCATTCTCGGCTAAATCTTTAATTTCTCTTTCTTGCATATGTAAAATTCCTTCGCCATCTATTGCTTTTGTGCTGTTGTTATTGTTGCTAATCCTCAAGTCCAGCTTCTGCTAGACGAGATCCATGAGTTTATTCAATTCAAAAAATCACAGACTAGCATAGGAAACATATAACCAGGTCGTTGTAGGACAAACCCAGACACCTAAGAATGTGTGCTGGAGAAGCCTGCCTCATTGTTACATTTCTGACAAATCGGGTGTGTTTTGTGACCTCTCTGGAAGGCAAGGCTTCTTAAATGGCCACTAAGAAAGCGGGAGAGTGCTGTCTGGGTGCATCTGTCATAGTTCATAGCGAGGGATCCACCAACGGATTCAACCCGGTATCAAGAGTGTGCCGGAGACACAAGCCAAGTCATTTTATCAGCATGTTTTCTGGAAGAATACAGCTCAAGGTAAGTCAGACAATTAGAAGTAGCCAGAGCTTCCTCGGCATCCTTCTTTGCCAGGGCTTTTGCCTCTTCATTTCCCCACATGGGGGGGGGGAATTGCTTTTGCAATTTGTACGATTTCCTAGGCTGCATTTTCAATCGATGGAAATCCTTTAAAATTGATGACAACTTCTGAAGCGCTGATGTCAGCAGTCACTGTTTATGAATTCACTTGTTCCTCCTCAGCGTCTTATGTTAAATTTCTTCAAGAATGCTATTTGTGTGCCGTGCTTTCCTTCGTCTAATGCTTTATATGCAGAGATGCATACATGCCCGATATAACAGGCTTTGAATGCTTTTATGACTCCTTGGTCCATTGATTGGATTAACCTCTTAACAGTTTTCCCCGAGCACCGTTTGTGTGCCACGAAAGGGGACCTTTCTGATTTGCTCTCACACCACTCGAGCAATATTTTTCCTACACCAATCCACTGTTTTGCCAGGCTTTTTCCATTTTTTTACTTTGTTTCTAATAAATCTCTGAGGTAATCCAGGACAGACTGGACTGTAAAACCAGTTCGAGGACAGGTTTTTACTGCTTTTCGTTTTGGCTCCCTTTAGGCGATTAGGCTCGAAAAGGAATGATAGCGGAAAATGCGCCAGAAAAAAAGAAAATCTGAAAGGTTTCGGATTTTAAATTACGTCCAAAGGGGCTTTTTTTTTAACATTTTGTGTGTTACCTTTATTTAATAAATATCATGCTCTTCGTACTTAAACCATTAAATTCAGTTCAACAGTGATATCGCTAAATAGTTTTAAAATGAGCGTATCTTTAGAATTTTCGATACAAAGTCTCGCGCGCTGAAGATGAAAATGTTTTGTTTTATTTTCCGTACAGTTTTGCCATTGCTCTTTTTGAAATCGTTGAGTTTGTTAATCAAACATTCATTGAAGTGTTGCGAAATATGAAATCGATAATAAAACAAATTTCAAATTCAAATTAGGGCTTCCATATATGCCCATATTCTATGCAAGATTACGTTATTCAAATTTTGATGACCGTAGGTACCGTTGTTTTATCACAATGCGAGAAACATACATGCATTCACGCGGATTCTTAATTATTTAATTTCTTTAAATTTAATACAAGCCGATAATATTTGGGGGCAACAATCTGAAAAGTGAAACAACGCTTATCATGAATCGACGTAAAATGCCAAAACGAAATTAATAGACCTTTTGGCAAATTGCCTCTTTGGACTAAAAAAAGATATTTTTGTTCCGATTGGGATATTGGATTCTGGTTATCTCATGTTTTAAAATATATCATATGAGAGTTGAATTTTGAAAAGAAATAAAAAATGTAAGCATTTAACAAACACGTTTTTTTTTTTTTTTTTTTTTTTTTTTTCCCATCTCCTGTTAAGTGTTCTTTTTGGTTTTGCGCTGTCGTCAGAAAAAAGCCAACTTTAAGTAAAAATGTCTTATTTTCGCCGTTATTAACAATTATATTAAATTAATAAATGCAATACTTGAAACAGTTTTGACTGTTGGTTCGAATTCATGTAATCTATTTGAATTCAAAATTGTGCATAAAAATATGCTTATTTTTGGTCACAACATGCCAAAAAAAAATACGCACGTATAACAGTACCTTTCAATTTATCAAGCAAAGCAGTAATAACAAATTTTGAAAAACCAATTTTGGTCAAGAAAACATCTTGCGCAATATGCTGCAAAATAAGTAAAAAATAAAAATTGTAGAAAGCTCGCCTAAAAGTTACCAAGAGCTGCTGCTCCAAAAGGTTTAAGACGTTTTCAAAAATTAATACACATGAAAAGCAAATCATTAGACATGTAAAACATAAATACAATAAAATTAAAAAACAGAAAAAGTTAAAAAAAGTTAAAAAGTAAGCGGAAAATGGTAAATTAGCCCAATTCGACATCCAAACAGGCTTTTCAAGGGAAATTTCATTTATTTGAACGTCGAATGAAGCTAACCCCATTACGCGTTTCGCCGAAACAGACAATTGAAACTTTTTCGCTAAAAAAATTTTTTTTGACAAAGTGTCTTGGAAATTTTAATAGTCTCAATTCTCTGTTCCAATTTCCCGACGCGTCCGCTCAGAATGACACATTAAGGTGTTAAAATATGTTAATCAAAATCAAACTTTTTAAATCTAGTCTAAAATTAAAATCAAAACGAAAATAAATAGCGATGAGCTATTAGTCCTAAAAATACAAATACATTCGGGCTGGGCCTGCAAGCTTAAAGATTAACAAATTTATTTTTTAAAAAATAGATTTTATAAAACTGTAAGAAAACCTGTAGTTAATAATCAATATAAAATAAAAAATTGAGAAAAGAACAAACTCAGTGGGTCTTGCTAAGACCAAGAAAAAGTTGTAACAAAAGAAACAAAAAAACTGACCTTTGGCGATGTAAAGCTGTCCCTCTGAAAACAATGCAGAAAAATGGCTGCTAACTTCTAGCGTCTTATTTTGGATGACGTACGTAGGGGGGAGCGAAGTGTAGTGGGAGTTTGCGTTTTAGCCAATGCGAAGTGATTTTCGTTATCTGTAACTCGTCTCCTATTATCGGAGGGGGCCGGAAACCTCGGAAACCGTGAAAAGATCTCAAAAAATGGCGCTTGGCTTGTAAGGATGGAAAAAATTTTTTCGAAGTGAAAATGGCAAATTCAGCTAAAACTATAAAAACTTGGCCATTAAAGCATGAGAAAAAGGAAAAAACAGTAATTTGTTAAAAAAGTCGTAATTCTTCAAGCTAGCGGGCGATCAAGCTACTATGAAAAATGAAAAAAGTCCTAACCTTTCAATATTAAAGTACCTTTCAATATTATATAACTGTATAACTGCGCATGCATAACAGTGCATGTATAACTGTTATTTACCCTGCGCATGCATAACTGTGAACACAATGTATGAATACTGTAATACAATTTAACTTCCTGTACGAATAAGCATCAACATCAATGTAAATATCTACTGCCCATGTATGACTAACGCATTGCGTTTTGTTCCGCATGTTGAAGGTAATGTGCGTAGGTGCGTTCATGTTAAACATAGTGCGTTTTGATTCTCCCGTGCTCTCATGCATTTTTCGTTTTCTTATATAAGTAATTTTACGTGTTTAATGTAATGTGTGTGTTTAACGTAATGTTTATATATGTTTTATGTTTTTTAATGTCGTATTGTGTGTACTTTGTATCGTGTACTGTTATGTTTTGTCTATTTTGTGTTGAACTGTGTTTACTCTATGTATATTTAATTTGTCATGTATTTCAAATGTGTATGCTTAAGCTGCATGTATGACTTACCATTAAGATGCGAAATCGTACGTCTACCAAGTATCCATTGTACACTTAAGACACCCCTGTTTGGCCTCGTGAACAAACTCATTTTAATATCTCAATAAACTCCCGGGGCGGGCTTCTTGCGGCTCCAGGGAGTTGTTGCCTCTAGGTAGGGGAGGGCGTGGGACACATGCCTGCTTACCTCTGTTAAACATCAGGCGTCCCCGTCCTCCATCACCTGTCACCTGCCTTCTTAGCATGCCTTTGTATGTAGTGGTCAGCACGCTGGACGCGTATTCCAAAGGTCCATGGTTCGATTCCCGGCATGGGCATTGCTCATTTTTCATCACTCCTTTAAAAATAACCTAATGACTCTACAGTAGCGCCCGAACTAAAAGGGTGGTGGATGATGATTCTCCACACCCAGGATTTGGCGATTGGGTCCCCTAAAAACCCCAGTCGCCCTTTAAAAGTGGGAGTATATAAGGTATTTCATCCGCCTTCTTTGCATGCCTTCGTAGTGTAATGGTCTGCACGCTGGGCGTGTATTCCAGAGATCCGTGGTTCGATTCCCGGCGAGGGCGTTGCTCACTTTTCATCACGGCTGCTTTAACAATAACCTAATGAGTCTACAAATTAAGAAATCGCATATATGCGAAATTGCGTTTGGCTTTTCTGATAAAAAGGTTGAAAGTCAATGTAATATTTTATAGACTATCACGTGTGTTTGAGGTATTGACTGTAGCACTTTCATCATTGCCTGAAGCTGTAAACAGTCTGTGGAATTAATGCATTCATCAATGTTGACTCCTGTAAAGGTATCTACTAAAAACGGTCTTTGCAAATGAATCCATGGTAAAGCGTAAAGCTGGAGATTTCAAAGATTATTGAATGCTACTTCAGTAGGCTCAAACTCAGATTGGAGAACTGCAGACAAATTGCAGATAGGCAGAATTTGTTCTTAAAGAAATAACAAATCTTGTTAACAAAACGAACATTTAACTAAATTTTAAATTTCATTTAATAAATATTTACCAAAACATGCATAAACCATAATAACAATGAAGCAAAGCAAAAACAAATTTCCGTCTGAAGTCTAAAAGTTTGCATCTGCAAGAAATTTCTGCTGGCTACATTTTGTAATTCAAACATGGTAATAGTTAAATATTAAATTGGCATTTGAAAATAACCAAATTAAAGAGAAGACTTAAGATGGAGATGGTTCGAAGCTTGTGCAAATTGGTATACTGCACAAGCTAAGACAACACAAGCTGTCTAAGCTAACTAGCTGCACAAGTTTAACGTGTGCAAATTGGTAATTTATATGTTGGTAGAAGGCATGCCAATGATTTTCTTTGGGGGAATTACATATAAATCAAGCACTTGGGTATTTAAAATATAACTCAAAGCAAAGTGGTCAAAAATTGGTTTTTATACCAAATTTTACGTTCTAGCTACCTGAAGCATGGCACTAAAATAATCAAGTTCTTATACTTGTTCAAAAGCACAATATTACGAGCAAACATGACCTGAAAGCAAATTTTCAATAGTGTATTAGATTAGTCGATTAAGGCAAAACATACGAGTGTTGTGTACCTTTGTGGAAACCCCGAAAATACTTATGCAACCAGAAAATTCATCCAGATTTGATCCCAGCTAATTGACAGTGCTTAATTGTGTTACTCGGTCAGCCACTGGTCGATTGGCAATTCTTTAAAAAAACTGGATAAAAATACTTACTGAAATTACATAAATTCTTCTGTGTTCCATATCTCTTCGTTCCAAAGCTTGTCAAGCGATGGGTAATATTAGTTCATATTTTTAACAAAAATATGACTATGCGTATATTCAATTCCGTGATTTTAATTTTGCAACTTCGATGTAAAATTGAAGATCCGCGGGAAAAAAAACATTTACATCCATTTATTTGTGCAAATTAAAGTAATAATGCCACACAAAAAATTGCAAGAGGAATAGTTTCTGCATTATGAGGAAAAATTATTCATTATATCCATAACTGTAACCGAGGAGAGATTTTAGATTTTGCGTACTGGAAAATCTAAAATCTCTCCTCGGTTTACTTCAGGCTTCTCTTACTTAGGCCAATAAATATTTTTCTATATAGTCCGGGCCTTTTTTTTAACCCACTTTTTTACCTGGCTTTAAACAATTTCGTATCCAATGCTACAAAATTATTTTTCTCTCAAATAAAATTGCCTTTTTTCTACTTGCCTTTCTTTCGCATCTGAGCTTGATTCTTTCTCTGTCTGTAAGAAATTATTTTTGTCCACGAGCCAAGAGGGATATTGGAAGTTGTGAATAGGCTTATTCATGTTTGTTTGTCTCTTGTAACGACAGCCGTCAGTGCTTCAGCAGTTCTTCTAGATCCTGAGTTTTTTCTCAAATTTGCTACTTTTGAAAAATCTATTCTACCAAAATTTGTGTGTCTGCGACTTTGCAAAATTTTCCTACTCCATCATTTCCTTCTGATACTTTTTGCGATTTAAAAAATTTTTAAGATAACGTAAAACGCTTATATGCTAAATATATATATATATATATTTAACATATATTTTCATATATATATATATACATATGAAAGATTTCCTATATATATATATATATTCATTTTGTGTGTTACTTTTGTAGAGACATTAGGTATTTTTTTAGGCCGGAGAGATGAAAAATATGCAACGCCTTCGCCAGGAATCGAACCACGGACCTCCCAAACGCGCTGAGCGTGCAGCCCACTACACCACGAAAGCTCGCTAAGAAGGCGGGAGCAATACCTTATATCTTTATTTATTAAATATCATGTTCTTTGCACTTAAACCATAAATTCAAATTCAACAGTTAATATCAACAAAGAGTGTTTAAAAAGAGCATATCTTTAGAATTTCCGATACACAGTCTCGCGCGCTGGAGATAATTTTTTTTCGTACAGTGTTGCTATTGCTCGCTTTGAAATCGTTGAGTTTGTTAATCCAAATTTCGTTAAAGTTTTATAAAATATGAAAAAGATAATTAAACAGATTCCAAATTTCAATTTTTTGCTTCCAGATGATCATATTCGAGTAGAGGGTTACGTCATTCAAAATTTTATGTCTCTAGGCACCGTTGTTTTTTCACAGGGCGAGAACATACATACATTCATGCAGATTCTTCATTATTTAATTTATTTAAATGTAATGTAGGGCTCTAACATTTGGTGGCAACAATTTGAAAAGTGAAAAGCCATTTATAGTGTAGCGACGCAAAATGTTAAAACGAAATTAATAGCTCTTCTGGGCAAACTGCCCTTTTGGGCTAATAATGTATTTGCTAAAATTGCTTTATAATAAAAAATAAATAAATAACAATTTATTTAGGCTTAAATAGAAGTTGGCATCTTGCAATTCTGAGATATTAGAGCAGGTGCAAAAGGGTTTCAACTCCACTCGCTGGTATTCTTATGTCTTTGATTGATTGCTTTGTATATTCTTTGAAAATTTGCCAGTAAGCAGTGCACACCTATGTCAAAACCAAACATCGAAAGAGGATGTATTTCGAATGAAGACGTGATTGGAAGAAAAAACAATCTGCTGTGTTTACTTTATACTCTCACCATACACGCACACTCAGGTATTTACAATAACGATAACAGACCAAGAAAATGAACACGATGTTCCAAAAGTTTTCTTTGGATTCATGAAGTATTGTATGTATTGTGCTATTGATAAATTAGATTGGATTGGATTGTAGTACTGATAGATATGCGAATTCCGTGAATAAATAAGGAAAAATATAAGGAGTAACAAAAGGAAAAATATTGCAAAACAGTGTAAAACAGAGTTTATGCACCTCAATACTGTTGGTTTTATTGCTTTATATATTTTGTTTTTAAGTCAGTTTTTCCCTAAATTCTATGGTGATAACGAAGCAATTTGTAGCCTGAGAACCATGCACTGGGTACTCAAATAGTGAAAGAAATTAAATTTATTCTCCTAGTTATAATATGGCTAAAAACTAAGCAATCTACGTGACTTAAAAAAATTAAAGCAAGATAAGTTTCCTAATTATCAGCAGAAATTAAAAAATGTAACAATGAGGAATTTATTAGAAATCAGAATCTGATGAAGTTAGGTAAGTCAACCAATCAG